AAAAAATATAATAATATTTTTCTTAAAAGAATATTAGAATATTGAATTATTTTAAATTCTATTTCCAATGACAAATAAGTACAATAAAGAAAAAATCAAGATTAAAAAAGAAAAATCTTTTTGTTTCAATTATCGTTTGTCAATAATGGACGACATCGAACATTGAAAATCCGCCCAATCATAGATTCTGGATCGAACATGGATTAGATATAACTCGCGTTTCGCGAGATGAATACGTATATATGTATATGTACCAAAAAAACCAACATTCGTATATAAATCGAGATTTGATATTCCTGTGAAGGCATTAACTCGTGCGTAAGACTGTTTTACGAATTGTGCGTTGCAAAAAATAAATATATCATTAAAGTGGAAGTTACTCTTATGTCAGAAACGTGACGATATATACGAGCGTTGGGATACATCGATTGTAATCGATCGTAATAAAGAAAAACAAAAGGAAAAGCAATTTTTAAAGCGATCATTATTCCCGTTTTCTACGCTGCTTAGTTCCTTTACGAGATTGCCTTTAAGCGGTACTCGCACGCAAAAGGATTTCTTTTGAACTGGAGAATTCAAATTATGTCGACCTAAACGCGTAAGACATTTAGGAAAATGTTTTTCCATGGCTTTCGTTTAGTCGTTCGATCAAGGTGGATATTGGATGCGAGGTTGGATAATAATGGAGAAAAAAGTTTTGAGGTTAGATTGCATGGATTTGAAATCTAGGATATTCTAGGACAATGTTTTCTCTTTTATTTTTTAATTGCAAATTTCTACTGTAATATTCAGATAACATGTAACTATTCTTTCTATATAAGATTATTTGAAAAAATTTAATTGTTTTATTACCGAAGTGTTTGTAATTAATACTATGAAAAAAAATTACCAATACAATAGCAATGTCTTTTAATATTTTTCATTTTTTTTTTAAATGTAATGATGAAAACATAAAAAAAATATGATTTTATTATCTTTTCAAGTTTTTACATTAAAAACTTTTCTTATACATACAATATTTCTTGAATATCCATCCAAAAGGTTTTATGGAAATAAAAGACGAACAGATATACTTTACATAACAGGTTAATTTACGATTCAAAATCAAAAAACTGTAGAGTTTGATATTTATGAAATGTTTTTAAATTTGAGATCATCAAATGAACATTGTACTGTATAAATTGATGAAATGAAGATTAATGACGGAAAATTATATTGAACAATGAAAAATTAAACAAAATTGACGATAAAAATTATAGATTGAAAACATGGTAATTGACCATATGAATTAACAAATAATTGAAAATCCAAAATGAAATTCGATAACAAATTCAATAAATAAAAAAGGAATTGAGTTTTGAAAATATTGAAAATCAAAATGATAAATGAAAAATCCATATATCATCAAACATGATTGACACACAATGTTAAAAATTCGAAACTATTGGAACAACAAATAAATTTTAAAAAAATTTATAAAGGGAAGATTTTATATTTCTACTGAAAATTTTTGCAGAATCCATATGATAGTTTTTATATAAGTTTAGGTATGTGCATACATTTTCTTAGATAAAAGAAGAGAAAGATAACATAACCTAAAATATTCATTGACAAATAAAGATACAAAAAGAAATAAAACACAAATGCAATTATCATATAACACTAGTTTCGAATTATTCTAAAGAAGAAAAGAAAAAAAAATATTTTCTCCATATATTTATTTTTAACAAAATAACAAAATAATTAGTATTTTTAAATACTTTGAATGCTTTACAAATGTTTCTCAATACTTGATTTATTTTTCAACAACAATATAATTATAATTTATACGCTTGTTTCATGTAGGAACAATGTAAAGAAGATGGATCTATTTTTTTTTTCAATTTTTCGCTGAATTATGTGATATTTGTATTATTACGTATACAGAGAACGAGTTTTGTTGCAGTTTTTTCGATAGATCGATCAAATACAACAATTCCATACTTTTTCCCACATTCTGTCGATAATTTTCTTTCACGTCAAACAGAAAACTCTGAATCGTTCAATCAATGAAATTATACAATATCAGTAACAATATATATAATTAACATGTTTTTCTATCTTTCATTTTCTACATCTTTCCTATATTTTAACATGTAACAAATAAATATTTAATTGCAAGTTCTTTTTAACTATTTAAAAATAATAAAATCGTTTTATTTTTAAATGGAAATTTTAAATTGAGATTTTTTTAATCTGTTTTATAAACCAATATAATCATTCCCTTTAATAAAATTTATCAGTCACTTTTGAAATTTCAATTTCTACATCCCAATTCAATAGAGATACATTTTTTTTTATATTGGATTCTTTTAAAATTATGCATTTCGATTTCTATTGACAATTTTTTTTTTCTTCATATTAAACATGAAATTTCAAATTGTTCATTCAATAGAATTATACTTTCTTTATTCATTTTAATATGCAATTTGTCATTTACCTAAAAATAGTTTCATTCAAAATTTTGTTATCTTTAAAAAATTACCCTTATTTCGTTTGAAAAAATTAAATCTTTAATTTCATAAACAAAATACAAATACTTAAAAAAAAAAAAAAAACTAGCTTTTTATTCCCAAAATTTCAACGTCAAATCCCAATCCTGTTAAAAAAATCCTTTTGTGTATTTTTCCAATTGATTTCATTTATTTACAAACGATATATTTATTTACCAAGTATCGACATTCATCAAAAGAGTTCACGAACCCTGTTGTTTTTTCATTTCATGTTACGATGGATGGATGAAATTGCATGCGATTTCGAATAAAGCATACTGCTATGAACAGATAACACATCCTATTGTACTTGTTTTTTTTTCTTTCTCGAAGAGGATAAAGAAAAAATAGAATAAAAGAAAGATTATTTATATATATATATATAGAAGATATATAGAAATGAAGAAAGGTCGTGGTTGCTAAACGATTTAATTAAATCCGATACAATGAGTGTTTCATGTTACGACTTCCGCTAATGATCACTTTAAAATGAGTTTTTATCGAGAATAAGATCCGCTATGTTTCCTCACGCCAACAACAATTTCAACGGTGCAATTGTAAAGATTCATAGAAATGGTGAATGCATTTTGTAGCTAACAATCCCTATAAGAATTTAGATGGGATGGTTCATTTGTGATTGATTTTAAGTTTATTATAGAAGAAACGAATAAGGAAATGAATAAATTTGACAAACATTATAATATTACAAACTAAAAGTATTACGATTTTTTTTTTCGTTTTGTTTTTTTAAATCTATTGAAATATTGATAAGATTATTTTCAATTATACGATTTCTTGGAAGTCAATTGTTTAGAATGAAAAAATATTGAGAAATGAAAAAAATAGTTTGTTATCATGAAATGAATAAAATATTTTTCTTCGAATCTATTATATTATAGATATTAAGATTTTTTTTAATTAAATGATATAAATTACGATTATAAGCCAATTATGAAAAAATTTTGAAGGATAGAAAGTATATCGTTTATTTATTTTTTTTAAGTGAAATATTAATTTTTTCGTTATTTAAATAGTTGATATTGAACGTGTGCATTAACGAATGAAGCATTTTTTTTTATTCTGAATAGTTCTATTTGAAAAATTTTATTGAAAAAAAAGAGAAAGATATAAAAAGATATTATATAAATATTTAAAAAAGAATTTGAAAAGAATCTATAATATATTCTGATACCAAAAATCGTCAGAGAATTCGAGAATCGATATGAATACATTTGGAAGGGAAGATTCGGTAACAACGGGTCTCAAATCTTTCCCCTTCAATCCGATGATCCGAATCCTTATCAATCTTTCCTTAATCTTTTGAGCTTGAAAAAGCTCGAATAAAAACAGATTGAATCCTAATTTTAGTTAATCAATGATATCAACGAATTTCGTCAATATTAAATAAACTTGATATTGGATCGATTAAAAAAAAATTAAAAAAAAAATAATACTGGAAAAAATTTGATTATCGAAAGGATGAATTTAAAAAATTTCTTTTTCAAAAATTCGATCATTAATTTTCGATTAAAGGAATATTTGCTTTCTTAAGGATAAACGGAAGAGATGGAACAGAAATTCAATTTCTGAAGGATAATATTTTCTGTCGGATTATCAATTTCTATCCAGAGTGAAATGAATCGTGTGAACGTTCACTAAACGTGGTTATTAATTATGTGAGCGGACAGTTACTTCATAAAATGGACGGTTAATTAATTTTACTTGAAATTTTTCCTTTCTCTGTTACAGTGTTACAATATTATCGTATATACATTTTTAATTCCCTACGTACTCTCGTGCAACTATTAAACTAATGAAAACATCTTCTCCTAATATTAATATGGTTATAAAGGAACGTTATAATTAGAAATTGCAGTTTGAAATGAGTTTTTTAAAAAAATCGAATTTTTATAGGAAAATTAGTTACCCGAGACAAAGATAGAAATGAAATTCAAATGAGTTCGAAGGATAAACCTGATTTATATCTGAATCATTCGCGATCTCAAAACTGAATACACAAGCGGATGAAAAATCGAAAAACTTGTTTACAAAATATAAAATTTAAAGAATAAAACCCTAAACCCTGGATTTATAAATTTATAAAAAATTAATTATAAAATATATTAAAATCTATTAAATCTAAAAAAGTTCATTATTCATAGCATATAAACAATGTTGGAATATTATATAAAAGTTGAATTATATAATTCAATTATTAACATCATTAAAATCCTAATCACTGATCTGAACATTCATCAAATCAAATATTGTATAATGAAATCGAATAATTATTTAATATCTGAATAAATTACGCGATATTAACGTTCAAATATTTTTATAAATCTCGTGCTTCTATTTTAGAAAAGAGCAACCACCAATTATTATAATCTTCGAAAAAAATCTCTCGCCAAAAGGCAACGTCGAATTGATAATTTTAAAGTGATATCGATATGAAATTTCGTTACTCACGGGTGCTGTCGTAGCGGATTCCATTCAATTCATCGAAACAGGGTAACGTGACCAATGTTCCAGGAGGTGTCCTCGGCCAGCACAATAAAGAGTCCCAACTGATCTCACACCCCTGTTGATCCTCCTCCAATATCCCTAAAGACAACCTTCGCAACTCCTCCTGATGCTTACGTTCCAGACACTCGATCGCTTTTGGGTTCACGGACTCGTTCAATTTGTTGATATAATGCAACGTGTTCAGCACGTAATTACCGTTGTCGAGAACAGTCTCATTGCTCGATTCCCAGCTCATGCTTCCTTCCTAATCGCGAACCGAAACGTTTCGCTTCTCCGACCGGGTTCGTTCGTTCGTTCGTTCGTTCGTCTTTTCGGAAGAAAGGATACGGAGGAACAAAGTTGAAGAAGAATTTATATAGATTTTACAATCTATATCGTTTTCTCGGAATTTTCGTTAAAGAAAATTTATCTTTTTCGACGAAATGTTTTAATATTTTCAATATTAAATAATCTCAAAGTAAAATTTTCCACGTTGATCCGTTTACATTCTTCTTTCCAATCTTAATATCTTCTTGGTATATCACAATCGTGATATCGTCACAATCGTGATTCGAGAATGTTAAAAAAAAGATTTCGAACTCACGATTTCGCAATCGCGAAATGTAATCTCGCGTGCCAGATGTTGATCTGGCAGGTTGTGGATATCTCTGATCGATCAAGAGAAAATTTAATTCCCTTTAGGAAGGAAACACGCGCTCGATCTCCTCGAAAGAGGCACACTATTTTTTTTCACTGATCGGTCGCAATTGTTTTACTCGTTGCTCTCCTCGGGAAACGAAGATATTTTCGATCGACCATTGGTCGATTCCACGACTAATAAAATCCTCGTTGATCCTCCAAGATCCTTGGGCCATTGAAGGGGGGCTAATCCTCGGGAGGATTCCTTTCCGGAAGTCCTTCGGTTCCAAGGCAAACCAAGGCAAATACAGGGACAAGAGGAGGGGGAGGAAGGAGGGGGAATGTTTAATCTTTGAACAACAATGTTTAATCTTTACACGCGCGATTCCTATCCGTATAGAAACGTGATAATAACGGTTTATCGAATTTTTACATTACTATTATTATACATTATTACTATATTATATACACGCATCTCTTCTATCTCGATTTACGTCACCGAATGGAACAAAGTTTTCGCGGGATTATTTTACAAATAGTTGGAAATCGGAGGTCGATTTCATCGGATTCGGAGTTCATTGAATTCCTTCGTCAAAGCGGAGGAGATATCCCTTTGAAATATATCCTTACGCCACAGAGAAACTTTACAGAGAAACTTGCTCAACAATTTCTTCTGCGCGTTCTAAGCGTTCATCGAAAGGGGAAAATCTGGTAGGTCCATTGAATTACAGTTCTTGATATCACTCGATATATATTCGAAAAGAAAACTCCTTTTGTTTTTGCCTCTCCCTGTTTTTGGATTGGGGATTATCAACGCTCTTTTCGAGAGATTTCTTCTATTTATTCGACTATATATGCATCCTCGTGCCGCCTTTTCTAATCCTAGATAGAATTAATTGAAACGAAGAGGATCGATCGGGGAAACGGTCGGATCCGACCCGCGTTCGAAAGTGGCACTCGACAGCTATTAGACAAACCACTCGAGATCCAATTACCGAACCGTGATGATGACGTCTGTCTGTGGATCGAGCGTTAACAGTTGAACGTGATCTTCATCCCTCTATTGTTCTTGCATAACGCAAGGATCGCGTGGAAAGCCACGAACAAAAGGGCGAGTCCGAGATATGGAGAACCGATACTGGTGTTTCGATCGAGAGACAGATCGCTATGCCATGCACCGGGGAAAAGAGGTGCTCGAGAGCTCCTCTTGGTTAACGCTTTGCACCGCCCCCTTGATTTCAACTCGACTCGTAAGGGGGAACGACACAAGGAGGGTCGTATCGCGATCTCTCTCCCCCTCGAGCCGAACCGAGAAGTTCAGAGTCCCTTGTAATCAATAGTCGATAGAGCTTCGTAAACGAGTTTCAAAACTTCGTCCATTCCGCCGCTCTGCCTCTGCTGATCCTGTCTCTCGAAATATCGTTTTTTTTTTTTTACGAGGAAAATGGCGATTCGTGACGCGAATGATTTAGAAATTTGTACGTATAAATTTATACATCTCGCGGTTTCTTCTTATTTGTTTTTTTTCTTCTGCTCTGTTTGTAAAGGAAAAGAAAAAGTTCCGAGGAACTTTGATCTTCCGAAATTCTTCTTTCGAGGATTTCTCTCGAATCTTTGGCTTTTCCTCTTTTTTTAAGAGAAAACTTTCTACGTTTATCGGCCCCGATGGAATAAGTCGATGTACGCTTCTTTTAAAATGCTATTCCTCCATCACGGTGAACTTTCCAATGGATAGGTTTAGATGTTTGAAAGCTCTGTTATTTTTTTATATTTCTATCTAGTAAGTGCTCGAGCTTTTTCTAATCAGCGTTCGAGTCTTTTCTGCGTTTGTTTCCAATTCCGTTTATTAATGTAATGTCCTTTGAAATTTTATTTTCATAGAGATTTCATATGTTGGAGTTTCTTTTGAACGTTTCTAATTACTTTTTTTGTTTCTTCGGAAACAAAGGAACTTGTTTAGAAATAAAAGGATCCTCCTTCGAATCTTTTATGTCTCTATTGAAATGTTCGAAATACTTTCGAAAAATTTATTTAATTATCTCTTTTTCCAAGAATAATTATAAATAATATTAATAAATAATATTCTCGTAATTAAAATATTTATTGATATCGTCGATAACTTTCTTTTCGATTATTCTTCTTTAATAATATCCTCCTTAGAATTGCTTCTAAATATCTCTCTCTTTTTTCTTCCTTTTAAAACAAACTAACTGAATATATATACTATTTATATATTATAATAGAACATAACAGATGAACGTACAAAATGTGTCCATTCACTTCTTTCGAATTGTTCCTCTGAACATCTCTTCCTTGGATATTGGTATACGTGTGCGACGTTCAAAACACGTGTTTCTTTTTCAATTGCATCGAAATCCCTCTTCATAATGCGTCAACG